TTTATTCAGTCAGAGTCTCACTCTGTTGCCCAGGCTGGATTGCAGTGGCACACTCATGGCCACCACAGCCTCAACTTGCTGGGCTCAGGTGATCCTTCTGTCTCAGCCTTCCAAGAAGCAGCTGGAACCACAGGCATGTGCCACCATGCCTGGTTAATTTTCTTGATTTATTGCAGAGATGAGGTCTTGCCAAGTTGCCCAGGGTGGTCTTGAACCCCTGGACTCAGGCAATCCTCTCAACTCTGCCTCCCAAAGTGCTAGGATTACAGGTGTGAGCCACCGAACCCAGATGATATATATATATTTTTTAAGTGGGTTGGAGTATTTTTTCAGTGCATCACAACTGAGGCCTGCTTAGGTGACCTCGAGCTAGGAATTTGGCAATTTCAGAAAAGCTTGGTTAGCTGTCATCCTTTTCACCTTTTGCCTCCAGATGGGTTTCCCCACTCCCACTTCCTGATTCTTCCTTTACCTCCCTTCTGCAACTCTCAGGTAACACTCAGCTCACACCTGCTGTTTCCCTCCTCCTTTTCCTCCTTCCTTCTTTCTTTTCTTTTTTTTTTTTTTGAGTTGGGGTCTCACTCTGCCTCCCAGACTGGAGTGCAGTGGCTGCTCCCGGCCAACGCAGCCTCGACCTGCTGGGCTCCGGTGATCCTTTTACCTCAGCCTTCCAAGTAGCTGGAACTACAGGTGTGCGCTACCACGTCCGGCTAATTTTTTGATTTATTGTAGAGACGAGGTCTTGCCAAGTTGCCCCGGCGGGTCTCGAACCCGCGGGTTCAGGCAATCCATTCTCCTCGGCCTCCCAAAGTGCTGGGATTACAGACTGAGCCACCAAACCCGGCCCCTTCTTTCTTTTCTTACTAACTGAACACCTAACACATTGTGCATTGTGGATAAAAGGTAGGAGTGAGGTGTCCTTGCCCTTAGGGAGCTCTAAGACTCCTGGTGAGACATGGAGCGTCCAGACACTTCCAGTGTGCTGAGAGACGGCTGTCAACACAGCAACACCACATGCTCACAGGAGAGACACCTGACCTGGGCCAGAGGGGCAGGAAAGGAGACAAAAGAGGAGTGTTGGCCCAACCTGAGCATTGAAGTGTAAAGGTGAGCCAGGCCAACGTGTGAAGGAAGACATACTAAGGAAAGGGCACAGCCTGCACAAAGGCCTGACTTAACCCAGAACCCCAGTAGTTTAATGTGACTGGAGCTTACAGAGTGTGGACTCAGATCCCATTTGGCAATCTGGTTTAATTTTTTCTTATTCTGATCTCACTATGAGCTTTTCTAATTTAAAAAAAAATACATGCCCATGATTTAAAAGTCAAATGACAGATCTAAAAAAAAGCAACAGTGTCCTGGATCGCCCCTCCTCCCCACTCATGTCTTATTCCCTCAGGGCAGCCAGTTTTTACTTTGTTTAGCTCTTCATTCCTGTTGTCACCCGCACACCCATGAAATCATAGGCTTCTCTCTCCATTTGTTAATCAAATTTAGACATCATCTAGGGAATTTCTACTATGATAAAGATTATAGAGCGCCCTCTACAGACCTGAGTGTTGCATTTCTATTCTGAAGGCATTGGGCAGGTAGGACAGGTGTCAAATAAGGAAGCCATGGGATCACATTTGCATTTTAGAAAAACCAATTCAGAAGCATTATGGAGGATGGGAGGAAATAGAGGGGACATATATGAAGAGTCAACTAGATGGTAGATGCCATGTGTCTTCATGAAGGCAGTGGCTCTGCAAACCAAGGGGAAAGGGAGCCTGTCAGAGAGAACTGGGAGACTGAATGAGCAGAACTGGGCAACGAGTTTCTGAGAGTGCACTTGGTCAAACATAACCTGAATTTTGATCCCAGAACCTATCATAAGGACCACAAACCTACAGAGCTGTGAATCAGCATCTCAATCTAGACAGAAAGTATTGAATGTAATTCCCAAAGAACAAAGTTCTAAAACTTCAAAGGAAAATCCATTACCAGTTGGGGCTTAATCCTAGGGATGCAAAGGTGGTTAACTAAAGAAGAGTCTTTATTATTATTTCAATTCAATACCCCTTTTCATTTCCAAAACACAAATCTTTCTTAACTTTGCAAAAAGTATCTATTCTAAACCAAGAGCCAACATTTCATATCAATGTGAAACAACGGCGTTCTCCTTAAAATGAAAAGAAAAACAATGTTTTAAAAGTCCGATATTATCTTACTTGTATTGAAACTTTCAAACACATATGTTATTTTTTGTTTTCTAGAGAGAGCAGTTTAAAAAAAAAGAAAAAGAAAACAAGACCCTACACAAGAGTCTGTGTTCTGGTCTTGAAGAACAACAAGGAAGGGGGCTCTTAGGAGACTGTGACCCTCAGCAGCCTGGTTGAAAGGAAAGGACCCTGGGGACAGAGCAGTAGACACAGCTACTCTAGTCTCATCCCAGGTGGAGCTGAAGCAAAAACTTGGGGTTTCTGGACATCTTGATTACTCACTGGTAAATTTGTGCAAGGAAACACGTACTTGTAAAGTTATCTGCTAAATAAGCAAAGAGGAACTGGTGAGAGTAAGTTCCAGCAGGAGAGTTTGGTGATCAAAACTTCCCTCTACACTAGCCATTTTCATCTCTAGAGACTAGCTGGGGCAACTCCCTCACCGGCCTCTATGGGCGCTCTAATCTTCACAGCTCTCCTGGCCAGTTTGCATGCAATTCCTTTCCTTCTTAAGTCACGAAAAGGTTGGTGGCATTTTTCCAGATGTACTCAGCCAAAATACAAAAATTTTAAAAGAATTTAGAAATGCTAGGCTGGGAGTGGTGACTCACGCCTGTAATTCCAGCACTTTGGGAGGCCGAGGAAAGAGGATTGCTTGAGCCCAGTGCCACAAAGTGAGACCTGGTTTCTACAAAATATTTTTTAACATAGCAGGGCATGCTGGTGCATGCCTGTAGTCCTAGCTACTCTAGAGGCTGAGGCAAAGGATGACCTGAGCCCAGGAGCCCAAGTTTGGGGTGAACCGTGATCATTCCACTGCACTCCACCCTGGATGACAGAGTGAGACCCCAACATAAATTAATGAATGAATGAATAAACACATAAATAAATAGTTGTACAGACACATATATGGCATGGATGCTGTTATCTTATTTATATATTTAATGTTATTTTGCTTCTAAAGTAGTGCATTTATTTACCTTCCTACTCACTTACCTGACTCTGAATAGGAGTTGGCATGTTTTACAATAAAAGACAGACACTATAGGAACATTAAGATAAAGAAAAAGAACAGGACGCATGAACTGAATTCCAGGAGAGAGGAGAGGGAATTCAAAGATAGTTGCTACAGCTTAGGACAAAAAACAAACAACAACAAAAACTCTGAAATTCCTTGGAAGCAAGAAAAAAGGGAAATTTTCCATTATATGAAAATAAAATCCACTAGTTTCCCAGTCCCAAGAGAAATAAATGTCAGAAAAATTTACGGAACATACAATATTTTAAACCAAAAAGATGTTGATGACATGGGTGGTCACATGTTGTTAGACCACAGAATTTTCCAGGCACATAGACAAAAGCTCCTTTCTGGGTCCCTTTTGGTTCCATAAAATTTACCTGAAATATTTCCAATATTTGTTGGTAAGTCCATAAAGGCCATAGCCTTGGCTTCCCCTCTGCTGACTCCAACTAGCAGCCACAGGGGGCCTTTTTTACATCATAGATCATCTCTTACCACACAGGATGGTGTTAAATTGAAAAGCTCTGCCTTCCACTGGACAGGCTAATGTGCCTCTGCAGTAGCCTTGGAGGGATGCTTACAGATTCCAGCTTATTATCAGAGCAGGGGCAATTACTGCTTGTTATTCTAATGAGGGGGTCACATTCTCCTAGCTCAAATCATCAGTTTTCCCACTGACCCCAGGGACTCCTAACTCTTGGGTACGCTGTCTGGAGTAGTGATCTTGGAAAACAGAGTTCTCCAAAGCCTAAAGGCTGCTTGAATGTGTTACAATTATTTGTACAACTTCCCATGGGAATTGTCTGCATATGAACACAGTTTTGTGGAAGGAAGGTACCTAGTTTTTATACTATTTTCAGGTGAGCTCATACCTTCACAAAAAGCTATAGATCATTAATGTACAATTCCATTACTACATTGGTGTAATGTTGCAGAAGTTTTACTGTGAATAACATGCACTGAAGTAGGATGGTCTTCATTCCATCTTGATCCTGGGACTATACCCTCTACACCTACCACTCAGGACAGACAGAGACCCTTCCTCAGAACTATAATCTGTACAGTGCTTCTAGCCCCTTTTCTGTGACCAAATCATAATAAAGCCACAGTGAATAGAAATTTATCTATAGTGCTTTACAGTTTATAAAGTCTATCCAAATACATCACGAATGTGACCTTCACAATAACTCAGGGAGGGAAGCACTACAGTCTTCGTTTCACAGATAAGAAACCCCAAGTTCAGAGATTTTCCATGACTGGCTCAAAGTCTCACCAAAGGTATTAGGTTTTTGGCCCATTGCTGGAACCTGAATTCTGTGGAATGTTTATAGTATATTTCCAATTCCAGTGAAAGCCACAGTGAAATTGGAAAAAATCTGGACTTTCTGCATAGCTGAAACCATCCCAAGCCACTAATACCTCTTCCTGTTTACTCAGCCGTCTTCATTTGGTGCTCTGAAATGTGTTCTCAGCTGCTCAGTGCACATATCATAAATTACTGCTTACAACATATATAGGAAAAGGTGACTTTGCAAGCTGGTGGCTCAAGTCATTAGCACATGTGGCATATATTAAACCTTGGATACATAGACTCATGTCCTGGCAACAAAGTTAGCCATATGGCACGTGCAATAGGGTGAGGTGATGTTGGTGAGAAAAGGAACTTTTTTCTTTTAAAAAAATTTTGGATAGGCCTTGGCAGCTTTAGACCACTTGTCCAAAAGGATTTGACTCTCCACCCATCAGAAAGCACTTTTGACTCTGAATTTACCCCACAGGAGGCCTATGTGACTCATCAGGATATCATCCGGTTGGTGGGGGAGCTGGTGAGCATCCTAGGGGCTGTGATCATCCTGTTCCTAGAGGTGAGATGCAGGTGGGATCCTGGCCAAGGTTATCAACCTGAGGCCTCAGACTCAACTGCAGTTGACATTGTCTTTTTGTTTTCCTGGCCTCTTCCCAGATTCCCGACATCTTCAGGGTCGGTGCCTCTCGCTATTTTGGACAGACGATCCTTGGAGGTCCATTTCATGTCATCATGTGAGTGTTCCTTCTTTCTAGTCCCCTGGCCAGAATTGTTCTAGGTATCTAGTATACTCTCTGGGGTCTGGACCTCAGGTCCCTCTCACTCCAGGGATTTCTCTCCAGTGGGCTTGTATGTGTGCTTTAGGTATTAAGACTAAGCCTGAGTGTGTGGGTAGCACCTAAGTCACCATTGTGCTGTACGGATCTAAAATATTTCCATCCTGCCTCTCATTCCCCTTTTCCTGTCTTCCCCCAGCATCACTTATGCCTTCATGGTACTGGTGACCATGGTGATGAGACTCACCAACACCAACGGGGAGGTGGTGCCCATGTCCTTCGCCCTGGTACTAGGCTGGTGCAGTGTCATGTATTTTGCCCGAGGATTCCAGATGCTGGGCCCCTTCACCATCATGATCCAAAAGGTCAGTGCTTTTTCAAAGCTTCCTCTGTCTCATCTCTAGACAGAGGGATGGGAGGGTAGATACCAGAGAAACCAGAGTGGAGCTGGCAAAGTTATGGAGGCCTCCTAACGTGTGAGGCAGTGTAGAAGAAATCGCCCCACCCTTCCTTCCCTTCTCTGTTTCTGTAGATGATTTTCGGAGACCTAATGCGTTTCTGCTGGCTAATGGCTGTGGTCATCCTGGGATTTGCCTCAGGTAAGACACTTTCCCTTCTTTGCTAGATCTTCAGATCCAGTTTTCCAGAACATTCTCTCACTCCTGCTCTCAGTTTTCATTTGCACGCCATTTTGCTTTCTTTTCTTTTTTTCTGTTGGAAAGTGAGTCTGAAAGCATACCAGCAGTCATAGATCTGGGCCACTCAGGCTGGCCTAGAAGGTAGACCCATGTGTTCAGGGCCAATAACTTTGACATTGACTAACTGCCCTGCAAGATCTTTAAAGGAGAGATAGAGAAAGACCTTTGGAGAAAGCAGGACATTAAACATGAAAGACTGGCCAGTCATGGACCTGATAAAACTGTGTAGACAAACAGAGACGGTGCAATGCTAGACTCTCCTATATTTACAGTTCAGAAGAAAAAACATAAAGCCCTCAATAAAATGTGATCATTTAAAGTTGAAAGAAAATAATTAAAAAAAAATGGGATGCAGAAAATAGTTTGGAGAATTTGAAGAATGACAAAGGAAACAAAAAAAGAAGATTGTAAAGGACTGGGAGAACAGAGACATGCAGGGACTCAACCAGTGGGAGGGCGGCAGGGAACAAAAGAAAGAAATAGCAACACAGCAAGAAAATGCAGGCAGAAAGGAGGAGGGTGGCAGGGAGAGTAGGAAAGAGTTCTGTGCGGTGGATGGAAAAAGAGCAGAAGGCGAGCAACTCTAATGTAGTTCTCAATGTCTGCAACTGATTGTCCGTTAAATATGGGAGATACTAGCTGAGCCTTGAAGGCTTTCCCAACTCTGAAAAGCCATGACTCAGTGCCGAAGACTGTATTACTGCCCTTGGGAATTTCTTGTTAAATGGGGGTTCCCACAAAACAGTAGGCAGAAAAAAATACACCAAGGTCTGAAATGCAGAAAGGTAAAACCATGGCAGTCATGGAGTAGTCCACCCCCTGAGCCTTCACATACCCTTCCCTCTACTCCTTACCTACCTGCATCTACACCTACACAGATCACAAAATGAGGTAATGGTAACAGTGGATTTTCTGTAGATGTCCTCTACCCGGAATCCCCTAAATAACGACTTCTTGGACATTGCACTTGCTTTTCTCTCTCTTTCTTTTTTTTAAGATTGGAAAATAGTTTATTTAGAAGTAAATTAGAGAGAAAGTAAGAGAGAGAAGATTCACCTCCCCAAGGTAGGGGAGGAGGCCAAAGTTAAGAAAACATGGTGGGTACAACTCAAGGAGCACATGGCCAGACCATAGCTTAGCAGAGCAATGGCCTGCTTTTCTCTGAAATAAGAGAAATCGGATCCTAGATAAAAGAAATACTTCCTATTTCTGCTTTTGGGATCACCTTGTTTTGTGTTTCAGTTCCCCATGCAGTGGAGCCTTTTAAAGGGTCTAGTGCTATCGTAAGATTTCAGGTGCTCACTACCATCCAGAAGGCTCTATGCTGAGCAGGTATCACTCTCCTCTGATGGTCCAGGTTCACTAAGAGAATCTCAGCATGATGGATGGTTATCTAGAGACTATCAAGATGAAAAAGGGGCTTTTCTTTTAGCCTTTTCATATTCTCTGTTCTTTAAATTGTTGGAGATTCCATGCATTCTTGTAATAACTTGCCTTTTAAAGATTTAGCTTTTTAAAATGTGAAACCAGTTAGGTGACTTATTATACACATACACACACACACACACACACACACACACACACACACGCACACTCCAGTTCTTTTTGGTTTTTGTTTTTGGTTAAGTGGCTGAATATTACCATTACCATTACCCAGAGTTATAAAATTATCAATAGAACATCTTAGTCAATTCTAAGTAACTACACTTATGGGTGTGTAATTGTATATGCATGTGTGTAAGTGTATGCAACTGTATATATCAGAGGTAGAATAAATGTTAACCAGGCTCATGCTAACTGTAATAACTTCATTTTCCCATGTCCATGTCCTCTTCCTGGGTGGAGCAGCATTCTACATCATTTTCCAGACAGAGGACCCAACCAACCTAGGAGAGTTCTATGACTATCCCATGGCACTGTTCAGCACCTTTGAGCTTTTCCTCACCATCATTGATGCACCCGCAAATTACGATGTGAACTTGCCCTTCATGTTTAGCATTGTCAACTTTGCTTTTGCCATCATCGCCACACTGCTTATGCTCAACCTGTTCATCGCCATGATGGGTGACACACACTGGAGGGTGGCCCAGGAGCGGGACGAACTCTGGAGGGCCCAGGTGAGTTTATTAGTGTTAGCCTCACTAAATGAGAAGACATGGAGAGAAAAATCCAAGCAGGATATGCCACAGTGGACCATTCTTAAAAGAGTCACAGAACAACCCAGTGGGACTGCCACCACAACAGAGGTTTATCTAAACCAGAGATACATGAGGATTAATGGAGGGGACACAAGGAGGATAAAATGAAGTATAGAAACAAGAGGTGAGGCTATTGATCACAGGTGAAAAGAAGATCCAAGTCATCCTTGAGTCCAGTGGGAACTAGAAGCTGTCTTGTTCTTGTGTACTCTAGTTTTTCATTGTGACCTTATCTTCTATTTGCTTCTATAAATTCTTGTTTCTCTGTGATCTTTTATTTGTATCATCATAGACTAATAAAATATTAGGATTAAAAATGACCCTTAATGGTACTCAAGTTGACTCTCTACTCAAAATAATAATCACTTATTGTCAGAGGGTTATTCGGTATCTCCTTTAATACTGATTAGAAGCTTATTATCTTGTAGATTTGGGTAGGGTCTGGAGGGAGGGGAGTTTTTCCTTATTTTAAAAGTTTTTTTTTATTATTATAAACATCCATGTTGCACTGATTTGAAACCTATCTTTCTATAATTCTGTTTTGGCCCCAGTCTTTTTCTCTCATATAACAGAAGACATTCTTCCATACGATCACCATTTAAATGTTTGAATATGGCTGGGTGTGGTGGCTCACACCTGTAATCCCAGCACTTTGGGAGGCTAAGGTGAGAGGACTGCCTGAGCCTACAGGTTCAAGAGCAGCCGAGACAACATGGTGAGACCTCATCTCTACAATAAATCAAAAATTAGCTGGGTGTGGTGGCACACGCCTGTAGTTCCAGCTACTTGGAAAGATGAAGTGGAAGGATGGCCTGAACCCAGTAGGTCGATGAGCATACCCCTGCACACCATCTTGGGTGACTGAGTGGGACTCCAATTCAGAAAAATGTTTGAATATAGCCATCATTTAACACAACAGATACCACCTGTCTCATAGAGCTCACAGTTTAGTTGAAAGAAGATATTAATCAAGTAACTTCACAGAAAGCTATAAAATTACAGCAGTAAAATTGCCATAGAGAAATACAGAGTGCTAATAAGAGGTTTCAATAGAGGAATTTGACTGGAAAATTATAAAATGCTTTCCTGAGGCAGTAACATTTCAGATGAGACCCTACAGATGAGTAAGAACAAGGGATTAAGAGGAATGAAGGGAAAAAATGGAGTTCAAGTTTTGTGTCAATGAAAACTCTTGGCTACAAGAACAGGAAACCAAACTCAAACAGACTTTTTGTCTTGTAAACAGAAGGAGGAGAATGTGTTGGTCCTCATATGAGGAGAGTTTAGAAAATTAAACTAGTTTTAGGGATGTCTGGCCAGAACACAGGTCCCTATCTTATTCATTACATCAGTTTCTCTGTTCTGCCCTGTTTTTGCCCTGACTCTCATCTAAGACATGTTCTACCATCGTGTTTGTGAGACAGCTTTAGAAGTTCCAAATGTGTACTGCATTGTACAGTTCCAAGGGCCCTTTTCATGGTGTATTCTGTGAGGCATCTGGTGCTGTGGAATATTGCAGGCTTTAAAAGAATGTCTTTCTCCAGCAAATTCATTTTATGTTCCATTTGCATCTTGGGCATATTTTTTAATTTAAGGTAAGACCAACGACTGGATAGTGGTGGTGGTAGTAGTGGTGGTGGTGATGAGGTTTGGGGGAGAATAGACTAATTAAGCAGGACTGTTTGAAGCCCAATCTACTCTCATTGAGGGATTAAGAGTGATAAAGGAGAAATTCTTTAAATTATAAATGGGTTCTGTTACCAGAGGAAGAAGGGGGCTATATGATGTCCTAACATCCTTTTCAAGGCAAAGACAAAAGTGGTCCAAGGAAATAGAATAGAATGATTGGACATCTTGAGACAGAAGAGAACTGGGATTAACTAAGAAACTGAGAGAGGTGTGGAATAATGAAAAATACAGGGAGTAGAAAAACCCGAGGTGACGAACTTGCTGTTTTGAGGATGACCACTCCTTCACTTTTTAAGGCTTCTTGGCCCCAACCTATTCTGCTTACACCATTTTGTTCATGCTCTAATAGATCATGTTTTTTTGAAACTAGAATGGTCTCCAATGAGTTGAAGTAATGCAGTACAAAGAGGGGTCAATATCTTTCTTTACTTTGGACATAATACTATTAAGAACACCTAAAATTGAGTCAGGTCTTTGGTAAATGTATAACTGGCCCTTATTAAGTTTATGACCAACTAGAACCCCTGCATCTTTGTTTCATGATTCACTTAGCAAAGCTTCTTAAATGTAAATGTAGGACATTAGATTTGGTTTTCTTAAATTTTATGTTATTGGTTTTAGACCAGCATTCCAGTCTGGTGAGATCATTTTATATTGCTTCTGTCACCTCACATATAAAGTATCCCTCCCAGCTTTGTGTCACAGGCATATTTGATAAGCTTGTCTTCTACATTTCATCTAAGTAATTAATGAGGACTGAGCAAAGGACAGAATATGTGACAGATGTGCTACTAGAAATTTCCCTGCCAACTTTGCAGTCATTATTCAACTCTCTTCCTTTTTAAGATATGGATATACAGTGGGAACCAAAGAGAGGTCCAGACTTTACCTATACAATGTCCACTTTTATACCTAATCTTGAATTGTACCCCATATCTTTAAAATAAACTATAATAAATAAATAAAATTATATCTTAAAAAATATGGATGTTTAATTTGTTGAAAGTTCCTCGAACAGGAGCAACATCATTCCATCCCCACAATCAGAGATTCTACTGAATCATTTTATTTAAAAATAAATAATTGGCCTATGGCTTTCCTATGAAAAAGGAAATGAGATTAGTTTGAAGTGACTCATTTCCCAGGAACCTAAACAACAATGTAGAGGTCACTATTCTATTCAAAAGACTCCGAGTAAGTCCTTTCTCCTTTTTTGATGAGTAAAGCAGGTAGCATGGTGCCTGGCACAGACTAGGGTGTGAATAAATGGCTGTCCTCAACACCGATCTCAAGTGTCCTCATCTCACAGATTGTTTTGGGTTCCTTTGTTAGTGACCTCAGTGTCTCTCTGAATCTAGTGACTCTTTCTGAGTTCTTCCTCTACATCTCATATCCTTCCAGGTTGTGGCCACCACAGTGATGCTGGAGCGGAAGATGCCTCGCTGCCTGTGGCCTCGCTCTGGGATCTGTGGGCGTGAGTACGGCCTGGGGGACCGCTGGTTCCTGAGGTGAGTGACAGTGTGTATGTGTGAAATTCCAGATGTGTAGGAGGCCATGGTAGAGAGGATGAGGTAGAGAGGAGACTTCCTGAGACTGGGTTACACCTGTCTTGGTAAGGGAGCTGCAGCTGAGTAAAGGGGTAACAAGAAAGCTGACACGGATGAGGATGCTGGGCTGTAGGTACCTCAGAGAAGCCATGTGTGTGAGCATGAGCTACCCAACTTGCTTGTTCCTATGTGACCCTCATTTCCAATATACTAACTTCCTCCTTCATACTCTACCCTCATCTGCTGACCTGGTTCTTTTCTCTCCTCATATTTGCTTCCTGGATTGCATCTCATTATCTTTGTGATACATGTATCTATTAATTGGTTTTGTTTTCTCTTTCACATTCCCACATATTAGCAACACACACACACACATTTTATTACCCTCCAAACTCTGATGGCTCGGCTACTTTCATTTCTATCCCAGATTGGCCTCCACTCCAATCTCCTTCTCTTCATTGGATCCTAGATGCTTTTTGCATCAGCTCTGGTCCTTCTTTCCCCTTTCCTCTTCACCCTATTTTCTAAATGTTCATCTCTACATCTTCCCCTTGCCCGTCACACACCACCTCAACTCATTCCTTTTCCCTTTTTTCTCATCAGGGTCGAGAACCATCGCGATCAAAATCCTTTGCGAGTGCTTCGCTACGTGGAAGCATTCAAGAGCTCAGACAAAGAGGATGGACAAGAGAATCTTTCTGAGAAACAGCCCTCTGTGACTGGAAGTGGGATTCTAGCTAGAGCGTCTCTGGCCCTCCCAAACCCCTCCCTGTCCCGGACCACATCCCAGAGCAGCAGCAGTCACAGGGGCTGGGAAATTCTTCGTCAAAACACCCGGGGACACTTGAATCTTGGACTGGATCTTGGTGAGGGGGATGGAGAAGAGGTCTACCATTTCTAATTAGCAACTCTGATATCTTGACCTGACTCCAGGTGGATCTGGGAACAGGGAAAAAGAGAGAGAGAGACACCTGCCTGAGCAAATGTCTAACTTCCATGTCTGTTAATTATGGGAGCATGTGAACAGAACAATTCCTAAAGGGCCATCTCTCACCTTTCATATCAGCATTTCTGGCAACTGGCAATGGACATCTATTGTCCCATATATTTTCTGGGTTCTTGGAAGTCCAATATCTTGGAAAAAAGAGCTATCTTTCTGAGCAAAGTTGAACTTGGTCATTACAGACATGAGGTAGGGATGCTATGTGAATGTCTGAACCATTTCTTTCCTGCCTCATGTAGGTCCCAGAAGGCAGTAAGCTGTGAGGCCTGCCTGACACTCCAGGGTATCAGGTGGGAAGAGCCAGGCATGGCATAGAGATTGTGGCACTTTCTTTTCTTTAACCTGTTGCGGGACTCTATATCCACCCAGCAACCACACTCCAGCTGCAAAGGGAAAGTTTCAAAAAAAAAAATTTATTCTTGTTTTCTTTAATTCTTTTATTGTGGTAAAACATGCATCATATAAAATGTACCATTTTAACTACTTTTAGTTGTACAATTCAGTAACATTAAGTACATTCACATTGTTATGCAACCATTACTATTATTCATTTATGGAAATTTTTCATCACCCCAAACTGAAACTCTGACTCCCCCACTATTTCCTCCTCTCTTCCCCTGTTAGTCAATATTCGACTTTCTGCATATGAATTTGATTACTCTTGGTATCTTATATAAGTGGAATTCTGCAGTAATAGCCCCAAATATGCCACATTTCACTTATTTATTAATCCACTGATGGACATTTGGGCTTTTTTCCCACCTTTTGGCTATTGTGAAGAGTGCTGCTATAAACATGGGTGTACAAATATCTTTCAAGTCCCTACTTTTAATTATTTTGAGTCTACCTAGAAATGGAATTGCCAGGTTATATATCATTTCTTTAACTTTTTAAAAAACTGCCATACTGTTTATCATAGCAGGCTTCACCATTTTATGTTCCCTTCTAATGAGTGCGAAGTGGTCTCTCACTTAGTTTTGATTTGCCTTTCCCTGAAGGCAAATGATACCGAGCACCTCTTCAAGCACTTATTTATTGGACAATTGTATATCATCTTTGGAGAAATGTCTATTCAAGTTCATTGTCCAGTTTTGAATTGGGTTGTTTTGTATTGTTTGGTTGAATTGTTTTATCCTTACTTTTTGAGACTCAGAGTCTGAAGTGTTTGCACCTTATTTGCATCCTAGTGTGTTTTTAAGTATGTATGATAAATTATGCTTTTCTACATTTGAATAGCCCAATCATTTCTTCTCTAGGACACTCCCAGCTCTATCCCTCAAGAAGCTCCCAGCAGCCAACCATCAGTGTGCCTAGAAGCAACAGACTCCTGCTTGGGCTCCAGAAACAGCCACACCCACGTGGCACTCCTATCTCCCTTTGCTCCATGCTGAGTTGTGAAAGGAACAGAAACAATAGAGGGTCATTCCTCTCCAGGGAAATTGGGGACCAGGTGTCCATAAAACCCATTGGAGGGGCTCATGTACCCCCTCCCTTGTGTCTGGAAAGACATCCTTCTTCTCATCCCAGCCCCTATCATCACCCTCACCAAAAAACCATGACAACGTTTCAGAGGACTGTGGTCTGTAATAACAAAGAAGTAAGTGGGCTTTGTGAAATCACACACAGGTTCAGATACACCCACAGCAAGGAGTCACATAGCATGCATACACACACTGAGACACAATGGTAGCATGATGTGTGAGTGCTCAGTCACCATAATTCTTCTTTATTTTCTTTCACAGTGGAAGTACTTCCACTTTAGACAAAGCTCAACTCCCATCTATGTTCCAGATCCATTCCTCTCTCTTTTCAGACACCTGTGTCCGTCATTGTCTTCTTTGACTCCTCTCTTGCACATTTTCAACCTCTCCTTCTCCATTAATTCCTGTCAGCAAATAATCATGCTCTGTGCTTTTCCATTTTCAAAGAATTTGCAAATTTCCTCTCTCAACCCCACCTCTCCTTACAGCTACTGCTCTTATCTTTTTTACTCCCCATTCAGGGACAAATTTCTTAAGAGTAAACCCTGTTGTCTACTGGCCTCCCACTGATTCCTCAACCCATCTTGATTTAACCTCTTCTTCACACTACTGATACCATTTGTCAAGGTTATCTACCTGCAGTTAAATCTACTGAACAATCTGCTCGAACTCCCTGTAGCATTCAGATTACAGTCAACTATTTGTCACTTTGCAATGTGTCTAATGCCACACATCTCAACTGCTCTGGCTACACTTCTGCCAAAACCTTACAGATTTTTGGTCCACAGCCTCTCTTTTCCTAACCACCTGGGAAGTCCCACCTATTTCTACAGATTACCACACACAAACTCATGATTCCCAGATCTCCATCTTCACTTTAGATCTGTCTTCTAGGCTCCAGGCATGAAGAGCTTGACTAGCTATCGATTGAACTGCTCTACCTGGATATTTTACAGACACCACAAACTCACCGTGTCCCAAACTGAACAGCTTTTCTTCCTCACCAAATCTGCTCCTCCACCAGTTATCCCAACCATATGGGGCAGCACTACAGGCCGAGTTGCCTAAGCCAGGAACCAAGACATCATCCTCAACACTTCTGTCTCAACCGTCATATCTAGTGAACTCAAGTCTTGTGGTTAGTCTAGTCCCTAAAAATCTTCTTTGAAAAAGAACTAATTTTGGTGAGATAACACATCACATGGTATCAAATTCAAAGACAACACAAGATATACAAGAAGTAAGCTCTCCTGCACCACCTCAGCCACTCTGGTGTTCTTCTCAGGGACATTCACTCATAAAAGTTTATTTATCCTTCCAAAAATACTCTAGGACTATCCGAATATATGTGTGTCTAGATTTCTCTGAAAACTACATATAATAGCAAAGATTAGAAAAACAGTTTTTGCTTTTGTCATTTAACATATCTTCTAGCCTGCTACATACCAATATAACATTTTTTAAAAACTTGTATTTGTCCTTACCCCTGTGTGGCACTTGAAGAAATGCAAGATCAGGTCTGGGTTAAAGCTGAGGGAGAGGGAGAAGAGAAGGAGGGAGAGAACGAGTGAAGGAAGGGATGCTTCAGCAGGTCCCTAGGGCAGGACGGCTTTGCAGACAGGGCAGGGAAGTGGAGTTGGAGAGAACAAGTCAACTGTGGCATCCACAAGGCTTCTCAGCACACCTGAGATCACTCAGGGAAAAGCTGAGTGAATGCCTTGATGCGAGGTCAAGGATCATCTACTTCTCTGAGTTAGGCCTGCTTGTTTCTTAAAGATTAATGAGGAAAAGATGAGAATCATGTAGGGAGCGGGAAATACTTTAACCAGGTTACTGGGTAGTGTCATGCTGACAGGGAGAGGTTGGAGAAGTGTGGTCCCCCCTCTGTACCCTGGGACAGCAGCCAGGCAGGAGACACCTGGGGAAGGACTGAACACACCTTCTTCATTTTGCTTGTACCTCTTTGTTATCCCTGGGATTGAGGAGGCGGCAATTATGGCCAATTGGGCCTGAGGGAGCAGAGGATTGTGCAACTCCGGCTGCAGCTGGAAGACCTGAGCGTGTACTTCCACACTTAGCTGTGCAGTCCAGGTATCCGTGGGAGGGCTTCTTCTTCGTGATGCTTAGGGCTGCTCTCTTATCAACAAAGCTTTCTCTCCTCTGCCCATTCTGCTTGAGCTGTTTTCCTTACTCTTTCCTGATCAAGCTACAGTGCCACCCAAGGATCTGGTGCAATGTGTCTTCAAGATACACCACCACTACCTGCCTCCACCACTACCATGGCCTCCTTGGGTCAGTGACTATCTTGGGTTCTGGGCTAACCAGAGGCCAACTCAGGTAGGTGCCACCTCCTTTCTCATCCCTATGAACAGAGGCCCCTGGAAGGCTAGAACGCTTTAAGAATGATGTGTACAGGTGAAAACCCAATTTTAATTCTTGGTTCTGCTATGGTATTCACAGCAGGTGTTGACAATACTTTCTGACTTGGCTACCTGATTCGGTTGTGAACATAAAATACACATGAAAGCACATGAGTTACCAAAATCTTACTGCTTTAAGGAGTGATTGCAATATTCTGGCTCGTCCCGAATTCCCTTATCCCGTGTTCTTGCTCCCTCTGTTTCTCCTCAGCCCTATCTAGGTAGTGCCTTCTAATTCAGGATTTAGAAGGTAATAGAACGAGATGTCTAGATCAAAGGTCATTGCTCCACGAAGGTGATCCTGGCTCAATCCTGAACATCTCACTCATGCCCTTGTGTCAGAGGGGATACCCCTCAATAGATGACTAGTTCTTTCTGTGATCACTGAGACCTCAGCCTCTTATCCTGTGGTCACCACTTTCTCTTTCCTGTCCCCACATAAGCCTCATCCAGAGAGAGCAGATGCAAAGGGAGAAATGGAACAATTTGGTTTTTCTTTACCCAGGCAGAAATCTCCATCTCTTCCCCTTCTTTCTCCCTCCATCCGAGATCAAACCTGGTGAGCCTAGTGGGCAAGACGGAGGCAACTCCCAGGCCCCATGGCTTCTATGCCAGCCCCTTTGGATTCCAGGACAGTGATTCTTCCCACTTTCCCACGAATCCCAGGCCAGTCAGGATGGAGAAGCTTAGGACAGGAGGGTGGGAGCAACTGGAGACACAGGTGCCGTTGCCACACACACCACACCCTCCCCTCCATCCCTGCTGCTGCTCCCTTCCCACCTTCTCCAGGCCAATTATTCTTTTAAGAGCAGATGGTCATTTCTCCGTGTGCGGGCTGGGGATGGGAAAACAACCCCCCACCACCACCCTCACCGAACACACATTTCCTTGCCACATTCCCCTGCTCCCTGTCACTTTATGGGATCCTCTCTTGTACACTGTCCTATCTTTGCTCTTGGAAGGGAAATACACCTACTAAATAGCTTGTAATTTCCTTGGTAAAGCTCATTCTTCACAGAACACAGTTCAACACATGTGTTACACCAGGTATCCCAACAGAGGGAAAGAAGAATGTGAAGTGAGTTAGTCTCTTCCTTTGAGACTCTCCAAATGTGGGAAATAGGCACACAAAGGGATGATGTTAATGCAGTAGGAGTCTTTACACGTGGGGCAGGAGGAAAGAGGGGTGGGAGCACAGAGGTAGGGTTGGGTGCCCAGGGAAGGAAAAGAGTGTGACACTTGAGGTGGGCTTCAAGGGATAAACTGGAGCTTATAAACCAGATTATTTGGGGCATCTTCCTGAATTGGGGCAGGATCGACCTGGTTAGAGAGCCTGGTGTAGGGGAAATGGGAAATGCAAAATGCCATAAATCCCATTTCCTCCCTACTCAAGTCAACAGTGAACAAGGGAGTTAGATTTAAACAGTCTCTTCAGGA